TGAAATGGTATTGTGCTAACATGCACTAGGAAACCTTTAATGTGTGCCAGCAGGATTTACAGGGGCTAGTTAGAGCATACCTTGATGTGTATTTGAATTCACACCCCACTGGTTTGCATTGCCTCACTGGGTAGACAAGCCCATTGACTCAGATTGTTAACACCCATTAACTCTTGCAAAAACAATGCAATCATTTAGTTACGTCTCAGTCATACACAAACACTGTCTTATAACTTCTTTGCAATAAAATAATAGGTTTGGGTTTTTTTGCATTTAATGAGGGTGGATTTCTGAACCCTTTTGACAAGCTTGTTGGATTTGACATTAGCTAGAAAACCATAGAAGGATTATCCTGGAAGAGACCATTTTCTATGGCAAATGACAAGGCTCTGGCAGTTACTGTAATAGTGAATTAACCGGTGCAGAAATGGGACCAAACAGAATAGCTTCACAACAGCTATAATTTTGCCTCTGCTTCCAGCTTCATCGTGATAGCGATGGGAAAAAAAATCACATCACAAAGGTCACCACATGGATTTCTCCTGGAAGGGGAAAAGCATTACAGCAATTTCCAAAAGCACGCTGTCGAAGGACGGCTGTCTCAGCTGCATGTGTGTTTGTGGGGGGAAGGGAGAGGGAGTAGGAGACACACATCTGGGAGCGTCTTGGGGACAAATCCCATATCATGTGCACAGCCGATCTATGCGTTAGGGAGGTTCATCGAGATGGGATGAAGACTAGAAGATTTTGCAAAAAAAATATGCTGATTTAGTCAAAATGACATTTACTCAGTAGAAAATTGTTTCAAATCCACATATGGTACCTGGTTCCCACCCCCAAAACACACCACTTGTGTGGCGGGGAGTGGGGGGAGGAGCCTGCGCGCTGCCCAGGTTACATCCCCTGGTGCGCCAGATCAGCTGTGCTGGCTTGGTGTTGTGAAAGAGTGGTGGAACCAAGGCTTAGCCCCTTCCCCACCGCTGCCCACTCCTGTGCCAGAGAAGCGGAGCAGCACCTCCTGGAGCCAGGCAGGCTCCATGCAAGAGAGTAATCAGGCAGAAAGGAACCCTCAGCCTTGATCACAACGACAAGGGGAACATTGTAACATTTACAAATAAGAATTGCAACTGAAGTCAATGGAACTATGGTGATTCCCACCACTGTGTGTAGCTATTCCCAAATGACCAGTCGGAAGCAGCAGAGAGTACTTGGAAAACTTTGAGCCTCCTTCTGTGATACTGTAACACATTTATGGCATCTGTCACAACAGCATACCTGCCTTCTGTGTAGTATTAGCTACTTTACATGGAAGCCAAGACATCTAGATTTTAAATCAGACTTTGGTAGAAGACTGCTAGAAAATGGCCTGGAATTAATCATCATCAGAATTATGGCAGCCCCAAGAGGCCCGAACTGAAATCAGAACCCCATTGTGCTAGGTGCTGTGCTGAGATTGTATTCTTTCCAAGGTAGGGACTACCTAAACCAGGGATGGGCAAACTATGGCCCATGGACCGGATCCAGCCCGCAAGCCACACCACGTGGCTCGGCCCCGGCACACTGGCCAGGGCGTCAGGTTGGGGGCCACACCACACGGCTCCCGGAAGCTGTGGCATGGCCCTGCTCTGGCTCCTAGGCACTCCAATGGGAGCTGCAGGGGTGGTGCCTGTAGAGGGGGCAGCGTTCAGAGGTGCCTGGACGCACTTCTGCATAGGAGCCAGAGAAGGGACATACCACTGCTTCCGGGAGCTGCTTGAAGTAAGCGTCGCTTGGAGCCTGCGCCCCCCGAGTCTCTACCCCATGCCCCAACCCCCTGCTCCAGCCCTGATCCTCCTCGCACTCTCCAAACCCCTTGATCCCAGCCCGGAGCACCCTCCTGCACCCCAAACCTCTCATCCCCAGCCCCACCCCAGAGCCTGCACCTGCAGCCAGAACCTGCACCCCTGCCCCAGCCCTGATCTCCCTCCTGCCTGCTGAACCCCTTGGTCCCAGCCCAGAGCACCCTTCTACACCCCAAACTCCTCAACGCCAGCCCCACCCCAGAGCCCACACCCCAACCCCTATTTTGTGAGCATTCATTGCCAGTCATACAGTTTCTATTCCCCAATGTGGCTCTCAGGCCAAAAAGTTTGCTCCTGACCTGAACAGACATAGGACAGGAGAAAGGAAACATCATTATCCCCATTTTACAAATAGGAGATGGGGGCACAAGGAGATTGAGTGATTTTGCCCAAGGTCATGTAGAATAGCAATGGAAGAGCCAGGAATTATACCCAGCTCTCATTCGTCCCAATCTATTGCCTTTACCACAAGACCATCCGTCCTATCCAAATAATGCACATTGTGTTCAGCAGATACTATAGAGGACTTAATTGTTCTTGTCTGTCTTTAACTCCTATGGACTCTGTGATAAAATTAAGGCCACTGTCACAAGATGGCCTAAAAAAAAAAAAAAAAAAAAAGTCTTCCAACTCTGATTTCCACCTATGTTTACAGAGCTACGACGATGACATAATGGTGTGTTCAATGAACACCCTTCTGTTCGAAATTAAAAGAAAAAACAAACGACACAGAAGGCCAGGTCATCTGAAAATAAACCTTAATTTATGTACATATTCATTCATTATTGCAGCTTTCCCTCAATCAAAGTCTAGTAGATAACCAGTTCTTTGGAGAAAAGAATTAACAGAGCAACGGAAGGAGAAACTTGTTAGATGGCTCAACTGGCATTGGAGAACCTACAGTGAGATTTCTGATTTATTACCCAAATTAGACCCAGGCAGAATAATATATTCTCTTTAATCATATGGATGTGTGTGTGTCCAGGATTTTTAAGCAAGAAAGAATGTTGTATGAACCAAAGCTCAGCTCTAAAATGAATGCACTAAAAAAGAATGGAGAAAGAAAGAGGGGGCACAATGGTTTACCAAGCCTATTTCTGAAGAGAGTTTGCCTCTAAACAAATGCCCTTAAGAATGAGGATCATCATCAAGGGCTCTTAACTAGTCAAGTTTCAGAGTAGCAGCCGTGTTAGTCTGTATCCGCAAAAAGAGAAGGAGGACAGATGCCACAAGAACTCCGTTTCTTTTAACTAGTCAAGTTTCCATGTGAAAGATGAAATGGGTAAATCAGCACCTTTTCCTACCTTATCTAAAGCATCAAGGGCTTGATTTCTTAGCAACACTCCACTGACTGGTTGGAATGCTTCTTCCCCCCTCCCAGAAAGTATTATTTCAGTATAAAGAAAAGGAGGACTTCACTTCATCCTGCAGCTCACGTAAGCTTATGCGCAAATAAATTTGTTCGTCTCTAAGGTGCTACAAGTCCCCTTGTTCTTTTTGCGGATACAGACGAACACGGCTGCTACTCTGAAACCGGTTATTTCAATATGTTTTTAAAGATGGTGGCAGTAGTTTCAATGAGCGCTGCTCACACCCACTCGTCTACATTCGCGATAACTCCCTTTACACAGGCATGCTCTGCTCAAGCAGCAGAGAATGCATTTAGTAATAGGTTCGCCAACCCTCCAGGATGGTCCTGGAGTCTCCAGGAAATAAAGATGAATCTTTAATTAAAGATGGTCATGTGATGAAACCTCCAGGAATACGTCCAACCAAAACTGGCAACCCTAGTGTCTACTGATTTAAAAAAAAAAAGTTAAGGCGTTTTTTGTTTAACTAGAAGAAAAGACTCCACTCGGCGGAAGGGCTAAGGGTAGTGAGATGAGGTAGATAATAGGTGAGAAAGGGTAAGGGAGGATGATAGGACCCATTTGAAAAACAAAACAAAAACAAACTGCTGATGCACTGTGTGGATACAAATAGCTCCAGCAGGTAAATCGACAAAGCAAAACCGGACGTTTGTGTGTGACTAAATTAAAGGCTGATTGGTGTAACAGAGCAGTTACCTGGGCCAAACAGCTAAAAACTACCAGGTCAGGGCCAGGCAACAGTGATCCACAACCTGCTTAGGTGCCCCATAAGCCTCCTCCATGGTAGGTCTGTCTTTCAGAAACAAGGGCTGGTGCACAGCCCCCACCGTGAATCATAGTCTGGAAGCGCAGCTAGGATGATCAGGGAAAATCCCTGAACGAAAGCAGTTACCACCCAGACTAACTCAAGTCTGAGAATGAGGCATTTCCCACAAGGGACTTCCTGCTCCGATTGCAGTCAGCAGCCAAACTCCCACAGACATCACAGAGAGTGTGGCCTGGACCTTAGTTAGAAGCATGTCTGACAAGGAGTCCATGGCCCTCAGAAGCTCCCCCCACTTTCCTGCTCTCTCCTGGAGGGTAGTTTTCTCACCTCCAACATGCAGTGGGAGGGGTGCAGGCTATGTGGTGCTGCTGTTAATCCTACCCAGACCTTTGCAGGTTCTGAAAGCTTGACTCTAACCCTTCTTTATTTGGATGAATGGGGGAGAAAGGAGGCCCATGCATCTCAGGTCATGTAATTCCTTCCGGATATTTTCCCTGCTTGAAGGCAGATATGGAAATATCTATTTGCACTTTGAGAGGCAGTGTGGTCTAGCAGATGGAATGCTGCACTGGGACTTCGGAGACCTGTATTTATTCTCAGCTCTGCCACTGATCTAATGGGTGACTTTAGGCAAGTCAAGTCATTTGGCCTCATTTTCTCCCTCTGAAATATGGGGATAATGACCCTTAGCTCCTTTGTAAAGTGCTTTGAGATCTAGGGATGATAAACGCCGTATAACTGCTAGACATGCTGTCTTCTTTAAGGGCCTGATCCAAAGCTCAGTGAAACCAATGCAGGCTTTTTCATTGACTCCAAGGAGCTTGGGATCATGCTCTGAAACACCAAACCTAATTCCATTATTTTAATCAGATCCTCATCCAAACTTCCCTGAATTTTGGGGATGCTCATATGTAGGGTTCCATGGGGGCCCATTGTTATTTAACAGGTTTTCAGGATTCACAAAGTAGACTCTACTTGATTACATGATTCAGAAATTGTCTCCATAGACTCACAGCAGCTCTGTAAGTTACTGTACAGCGTTTATTGCTTATTATGAAAACTACATGATAATAATTTCAATTATAAGCCTATTAGGTAGGTAATTGACAACACAAGTGTACTAAAGTTACATTCCACTTACTTCCATGCAAGTGTGCTGTGTTTTTAGGCAAGCAAAGCTGATAATCCGGGCATAAAATGATTTTATAATTAACTTCCTTTGTCTGAGTCCCTAGACTCAAACACAGTTTTGTTTAGCAGGCATTAAGCTGGCTCAGAGTTCATCTGTATTTTCCCTTCCCCTCTCGACTATCATTCCCAGAGACAGAAATTGCTCATTGTAACAGAAATCTTGCACAGCCATTGAAGAGACATTTGTTGACAACTTCACCACCAGGTATGATGAGGTCTCTTTCTAAAGCATGGGTACAGAAGACAACTCTGACAATAACGCGGTAAAAAGGGGAGAAAGTTGATAGAAGGCCCAATCCTGAGAAGTGCCGAGTGCTGTTCCCCCCGACCCCCGACTCCTGTTGATATCCCTGGGGATCTGGGCATTCAGGATCAGGTTAGCTGTGGAGATATAAAAGCATCTCTTATTTAATAAAAGGGAAGAGAAATAATCCTTGTTTAGGGTCCTAACCTGTGATTTCAAAGGGATGACTCTCATTCACTTCTCATGGCATTGGATTGAATTAAGTGTTTATAGCATCTCAGCACAGAATAATTGCATTGCCGCAAGCTTGATTCCCCCCCCCCCCGGCGTGTTCCTTGGGATAACAGAAATAATACATGAGCATCTCAAGGCACTTTACAAGCTTTAACTGATTAATATCTACCTAACCCAGGATGGCAGGAGCATTATTTTATCCAATTTACAGTTGTGTAAATTGAGGCAGAGGAGTTAAGCGATTTGCTAAAGGTCACACAGCATCTCTGTGTAGATGCCACGAATAGAACCCAGGAGTTCTGGCTCCATGTCTCTGACCACTAGGCAACATAGCTTCAAAACAGAAAACATAGCAGGGCTAAAACATACACAGCTGGGTGGTTCTGCACTGTCTGCTACCAAATATGTGCAATATGTGAAAGAGCAATGGGAGTGTCTGAATGAAAAGTAGCACATTCCCTTATTTTGTGGCATGAAAAGCGAAGTTTTCAAGATGTGGCCTCTTGGCTGTTGTGCTTGCAATTCTAGTTATGGTACCCGGTGAACTGTCCGTACACACTACTGTGTATGCAACACTGGGTACACAAAATTGAGGCTTCTCTGAAAATTTGCCTCAGAGATTACAAATAGAGAGCTGTACAAATAATGGATTTTTCAGTTTGCTGGCAATTTCACAAAATTTGAAAAAAGTTTCAGGTTGAACCAAAGTTAAAAAAAAATTGGGGAAATTAAACCTGAAAAAATGTGTTTTGGATCAAACTAAATATTTTGTTTTCATGCTGATCATTTTTTAACTTTAAAAAAAGGAATTTTCACAATGAAAAAAGTCATTTCAAATCAAATAAATTCATTTTGAAAGTGCAACATTTATGGATTTAATTTATTTTATTGTTTTGGCCAAAAGGATTGACTGGAATTGACACAAATGCATTAAATGGGTCACTGAATCTGCATTTTTTGCAGAAAAAAAGTTTCGGTCGAAAAACCTGCCCGGATCTACAAATATACAAGTAGATTTCATAGTCAGGTTGGAGGAGAGGGGGAAATGGTGATACTTCCTCAGCCCTGTCTTTGGTGTGCATTTCTGCTGCTGTGTACTGCAAAAGCCCTGGGATGCATTAACCATTTGATTAAAATGAAGTCAATGGAGTAAGTCAAGGTAATGGTAAACAAGTGACAACGCTCAGTGGTCAAAACTGCGAGTTAGGAATGCATCATGGAGACTGTCCGTATTAAAGTTTTGCCTGTTAGCTGAACTTGGTACCAGTATCGTAGGCAGGAGTTAAACATGGAGGAAAGAAAAAGAAGTGTTTTTCAACTCAAACCCGGCTCCAATCTAAAAGTCTGCTCAACGTTCCAGAGTAGCTTGATGTTTTTGCTGAAGTAGCAAAGTACTTAAGGTAACATTACTGAGTGTCACCAGATGGTGCTATTATGCATGTTTCAAGTTTACTTTAACTGAATGTATAGGAAGGTGGATCTTGGAGAAATGCTTGTTGTTGGCTGGGATGGCTTCTTTCTGGAAGCTAAGAATATCATCAGTAATAGTCTGTGCCTTTCCTGAACCTTAATGTCTGGAATACATAAGGTTTAGAGCTGTTGCAAAAAACAGTATTTACAACCTGGCATGCAGACAAGAACATCACATTTAACAACGTTGGAATCTAAAACAATCATCATTAGGTTTCAGAGTCAGCACCCCATGTAGAAGAATGGGGGCAGCTTGTAGCTCTTACACTTCAGCTGAAGACAGATCCTTTTAAAGTCTTTCCACCCCCTTGCCCTATCTGGCCAGGAGAACAGAGTGTGTCTGTTTTCCCAGCTCTTGGTAACCAGTGACCCTCCAAAGATCAAAGGAAAAGAATAATGAATTTGCTGCTCAGCAGATCCATCACAATAGATTACGGACTGTATCATCTCCAGAAATGCATGACTATCTGGCTCAAGGACTGGGCAAGTAGAACTGGCTTGATAATGGCTGGGTTGAAGTGTAGATTCCCACCACTGCTGGGTGTGTCCAGTGCCCTCCAATTCTCTGCAGCGTAGTGCCGCCAGGGACAGCTGTTTGGCATCTAGCTCTCACATCTACTTTTTGTGAACAGGGCAATGGGCCTTCACTGCAGCATATATTTTGGAGGGGGAGGGGCGCAGAAGGGGACGGGAAGGGTTAGGTCTTTCCCCCCGCCTTCTACTATCCCCACACAGTTCACAGTTGATCGTTTCCTACTTTTTCAAATTACTCATGACCATTCCTTTAAAATAATAAAAAGGGAACACATCAACCGTGAAGTAAGAAAAATAGGAAAAAAGGCACCTTCAGGATGCCTTTTAGCACACAGAGGAGCATTAAGTAAAACAAATTTTATCAAAATAGCAGCTTTGAACTTTCAAACAGAGATGCTTCCCTAATGAAAGCCTTTGACTCTCTTTAAGCTTCAAATCTTTAGTTAAGGCAGATTATTGATTTGCTAGACACTGCCAGACTCACTATATGTTTAAAGGGTATCTATCTGTCCTCATTCTAGTTGTTAGTAGGCATAAGTGGATTAAAAGATAGATGGGAATGAGGCCTTGCTTATAAATCTTTGTAACATGTTTTCAAGCTGCCCACCAAACCAGACACTGCAATTTCTTTTATGTTTAATGCAGCAGCACCTAAGGATGACAATCAGGTATCCTGGCCCCCATTCTTCTGGGTGCAGTACACACAGAACTAGAGGTGAGTGAAAATCAATGTCCATCCTCTGGGAAATTCTGATATTTGTTTTCATCCAAAAAGCTGAACTGCCCAAGTTTTTGCAGAGAAAAGATCGAATTTTTTTTAATTAAAAATATCCACACACAATGTTTTGCCATTTCTGAGCTGAAACATTTCATTTTGAGCCAGTTTAGCATTAAGTGGCATTTGATGATGGGGTGCCTCATGAGAGTTGTAGTTTGAATGCATTTTGCCCCCATTCTCTCATATAAGCCAAGCTTCCTAGCTGGACTACATTTCCCATCATGCCCAGGTAATCATGTGACTCCCATGATGCACTACATACCTTAGTCAGAGCGGAGATTGTGGTGCATCACGGGAGATGTAGTCCATAGCAGCATGGCCCAATAGGGGAAAATAGAGGGCATTCTACAGCTCCCTTGTGGCACCACAGCACCAAAGGAGTTGCAGTTGACTGTAGGTATTTTTATTCATTCATTTATTTTCTTAATGGAACACTGACAAATTTCACCAAAATCAAAATTTTCCCTCTGAGAATTTTGATTCTTTAGAAACTGCATTTCCCACTGGAAAATCATCAACAGAAAATTCTCAACCAGCTCCGCAAGTAACATCCAGACAGTCACTGCTTCAGCCAGCTCACAATCTAAGATTTTGACAAAACACACTAGATGAATAGCAGACAAATGGGGACAGAGGAAGGACGACAACGAGGTAACAGTGGAGACCACTGCATATGCATAACTTAGTCATAACAGTGATCTTAGTAGTCACAACTTCAGTGCCAATGATGACAAGAGTGATGTTTTGAGGTATTGCACAATCAAAGTCTATGCGAGCTTCCCCATTCACCCCAATCTTGAGCTGCAGCACTGCCTGGTGTTCCAGCCCAAGACTACCGACAGTTCTGTCCATTAAATCGGGTCAGACTTTTTCATGGAGACCTTTTAATTTTTGATGAAAAATATCGTTTTCATCTAAATCAACATGTTTTGAAAAATGTGATTTTCATGATATTTCATTTTAAAATAAATGAAACAAAGCATTTTGAGAATGTCAGAGTGTCCCGTTTTGACATTTTCAGAATGGGAAGTTTTGATTTTTTTTTATTCTGAAACCATTTTTTGGAAATTGTTTGAAATGATATTCATTTTAAAATAAAAAAAAATTTAAAAGGAAGACGTTCAAAATGGTTGAATCAGAAAAAATGTTTTGATTTCATGGAAACCAAATGCTATGAGTGACCCAAAACAACTTTTTATGGAATTTCATGGGAAATCTTCATTCCCCTTCCTTTCAGGAACAGACAAAACATTAATCCTAGAATTTCCTGTGAAACCAGAAATCAGATTCTCAGCCTGCTCTACTGTCTGACTGCTGATTTGAGGCACTCAAGTTCCACCTTGTGAACCTCATCTACTTCTGCCCGGTTTACAATCTTCTGTTACGAGTACCCCTGGCTCTTCCAGCTCTGAACCCCTCATGAGTAGAGGCTGAGGAGGACTGACGAATTGTGGTGAAACATTACATGGTTTTGCAGTCCACAGCAAAAAGGAACCAAAATGACACCAACCCATTCATGCTCACCTGTGGCCAAATCTGTGCTGCTGGCCCCACCTGCTGTGCCATGGCATTTGACTGTTGTTCCATGGAATCAATACAACTCCAGGCTGCACTTGATACTCTGAGCAGCCCAGCAACATGGCTTTATCCTGTAGTCTTGGCAGCAGTCACATCAGGTTTTGAAGCCCACATGGGGACGTGCAGCCCTTGCAACTTGGCTCTAACCCTCAAGAGGCAATGAACGGGCAATCGGGCACTGAGCAAACAACAGCGACTGCACATATGGGGCAATATACTGCCTGTCCCATCACAGGAAGATGCCCTGAACTGGGGAACAGCAGGAATACACACTTGCTCCTCGCAATAATTTTGAGAGTGAGCCGGGGGCAGCAATGAGAGGGGCGCGGTGGCCGCACCCACTGCTACAATTGAGGAGTGGAAATATTGGCAGCACAGCTGATCTTCATGCTGTCCACTTGTTTTGATGGGGAAGCATTAAGGGATCCCTTCCAATGCAGCCCTTTCATAAAAATAAAGGGAAGGGTAACCACCTTTCTGTATACAGAACTATAAAATCCCTTCTGGCCAGAGGCAAAATCCTTTCACCTGTAAAGGGTTAAG